ATATATATTAAGAATATAATAAGTTAATGCTCTACCTCTTTTTCGAGTTTTGCTGCCTTCTTTGCTTCAACATCTTGTAATAATTTCATCGACTCAGCGACTTTACCTTCTTCACCTGAAGAAAAGATATTTGCAAGCAGAAATAACTTTTTATATATCAATTTTTATTCATATTTTCAAGTTTTAAATAGAAATCAAATAAACATTTTACCCAGAACTTCCACTTCTTTAGTCATTTCTGATATTTCGGTGGACAAATTTTCAATTTCTCTTGTCTATAGAAATAGAAACATATACATTTAATATTGGCATTGAATCAGATAGCAGATTTTTTTATTAAAAACTGCCTCACCAATTGAGAGACTTTTGCACTATCTTCAGGAGTTTTATCCAAGCGTTTCTGTGCGCTCGCGATTTTTCGATCGCAATCTGACACAAAATTGCCTAGGTTACGTTCAAACTCTAAATCAAAATCGCATACTTTTTTTTGTTTTGCTTCTTCATATTCGGTTTTTAATCGTTCTGAATGGATTTTGGGACATGCACCGAGATCCATTTTCTTATAAATAAAATTGTTTATGAGAATGTTAAATTAGATCGCACAAAAAGCTTCTTTGGCACAATAGCTTAAAAAATAATAAAAATTTACCGTATTGCTATATTATGCAAAATAAACAAAAAATAGTGAATATACATATAGTACTATGCGACTTGTACCAAAAAATAGAGTATTTAAGGCTTACGTGAAAAGGTCGTGCGGACAAAGCCCACAAAGGTAATTGCGACATACTTTTTCATCGTCGTACCTCATATGATCCGGAACACCTCCTAAAGCTTCAGCTCCCATTAATGCCTTAAGTTCATTATAATATTTGACGATATTATGAAAATTCAGAAAAGAATTTTTGAATCTCAGACTTTAGAAGTACCTCTAAGGCTCTTCTTGCTTCTGCTGCCATGTTTGTTTAGTGTTTTACCACTATAATCTGGTAGTAACTCAATATCGTATAAAAACAAATCACTCGCCTCAACATTTTACTTTTGATTGTGGTTCAACACGTTATATAAAAAAATCTTGATCACATGATTAAATTACTCGAGATTTAAAATATGATTGGTTATTATTTCGATATTAACATATCTGATATTGCTGTATATCGATATTATATACTGTATTAATTTAAAGGTTCTATTTCTATAATAAAAAAACGAGGTAGATTGGTAAATTAGCAATTGTATAAAATTTGTTCTTACGTCACTACCTTATGTTATTTGATGGTTCTGACGCCGTTATTAAAAAAATATATATTTAGATTATTTATTTAGATATTTTATACTGATGTACTGTATAAAAGAGAATCAATTTATCTGTTAATATTCTATCGCTATCCGCTATTTTAAACGATGTGCGTACGTACGTACGTACGTACGTAAGACCAAAGTTGATTTGACTTAGTTAGAGTCAGAACATAAAAAAATCCGACATACGTATTGTTGTTGATGTGAGATGCTATATAGAGTTAATTGTATATAATACCGATAACGATAAAAAAAGTAATCGGATTACAAGTTTTTGCCTGCTGCATGATTTTTATATAAGGTAAAAAATTTGTGTCGAACCCGAGGCTTTTTTTTTTCAAAGCTTCGTTCATGAAATTTGCTTTTGAAACATATACTTTATGCAGATCACTTACACTTAACATAGAACTTCGACAGTTGCAAAGTTACAGTACACGGCGTGAATTATCACCAAAAATTCTGACAAATATAA